CAGGCACTTTGCAGGATTGATTATCAACCCGTGTTGGCTGAGCCTCGTGAAAAGGGCTCGGAGGTGGGACAGGTGCTCTTCCACCGAAGCGCAGGCGACGAGAATGTCGTCCAGGTAGACGAACACAAACGGCAAGTCTTGCAGCACCGAATCCATCAAGCGCTGGAACGTTTGAGCGGCATTCTTGAGCCCAAAAGGCATCTGCAGGAACTCGAACAACCCAAACGGCGTTATCACTGCCGTCTTGGGAACGTCCAGGGGATGCATGGGCACCTGGTGGTATCCACGCACCAGGTCCACTTTAGAAAACACCAGCGTACCGGCCAGATGCGCTGAAAAAAATGCGTGTGTAAGCAGAAAGCTTACACACCTTCCGGCGCAGACTGAAAACTCATCTCTTTTGACTCCACTTCGAGCGATAGAACTATTAACAAAGCACTTATATACTAATAAAGGACTGGCTTATCTAAAGCCAGTTGAGTAGCACTTGAAATGTTTTTGCTCTATGAAACCTGATGTACTTATATGATTCTGTTTTCTTCAAGTTTATATTTTGTTGGTCGAACGCACTTATTGTAAGTCGCTTTGGATAAAAGCGTCAGCTAAATGCAATGTAATGAAAAGTCCTGAATGTGCGGCACCGGGTAGCGGTCAGGTGTCGTGGCGGCCTTACGGCTTGGGAACGATGTGCAGAGGAGAGGCCCAAGGACTGTCAGACCGGCGGACGATACCCAGGCGTTCCATGGTCAAAAACTCCACCCTCGCTACTGCAAGCTTAGAAGGGTTCAACCGCCGGGCCCTGGCGTAGACTGGGGGACCTTCGGTGGTGACGTGGTGCTCCACCCCATGCTTGGTGGTGAGTGCAGAGAAATCAATCAATCAATCATCAATCAATGTTTATTTATATAGCCCAATATCACAAATGTTACATTTGTCTCAGTGGACTTCACAGTTTGTACAAAATATCAGTATGACAATACGACACCCTCTGTCCTTAGACCCTCACATCGTACAAGGAAAAAACTTCCGAAGAAAACCCACAGTTTAAAGGGAAAAATGGGAGAAACCTCAGGGAGAGCAACAGAGGAGGGATCCCTCTCCCAGGACGGACAGACGTGCAATAGATGCCGTGTGTAAATTGAAAAGATAATACATTTGCAACATAGGTAGTCCAAATGTTTGGAAATGCATGTGTGTATAATAGGAAGATGAATCCACGAGGATATCCATCCAGGACCTATGATCCAGGACCACAGCCACGACTCAAGATCCAGGGCTCGCGATCCAGGACAGAGGAGCGCAGGATCATCCATGACTCCGGATCCCGGCGTATATAGACACCAAAAAGAAAGACATTTGGGGAAGCTGGGTTAATCGGAACATGAGAGTACACAGGTATAGACAGAGAGAAGGAAGAAATAAGATGTCCCCCGACAAACTAAGCCTATATCAGCAAAACTAGGGGCTGAATCTAATCAGCCCTAACTATAAGCTTTATCAAAAAGGAAGGTCTTAAGCGCACTCTTAAAAACGGATAGGGTGTCTGCCGCCCGAACACAAACTGGAAGCTGATTCCACAAATGTGGAGCTTGATAAGAAAAGGCTCTGGCTCCCATTGTACTTTTAGAGACTCTAGGAACAACCAACAACCCTGCATTCTTGGAACGCAATGCCCTAGTAGGACAGTAGGGAATGAGTTCTTTAAGGTAAGATGGCGCCTGCCCATTAAGGGCTTTGTAGGCGAGAAGAAGAATTTTAAATTATATCCTGTGTTCTATAGGGAGCCAGAACAGGAGTAATGTGGTCCCTTTTCCTAACTCTGGTTAGTACACGAGCCGCAGCATTTTGAATCAGCTGAAGCGACTTGACTGACTTCTTGGTACACCCTGATAATAAAGAGTTACAATAATCCAGCCTTGAAGTAACAAATGCATGGACTAGTTTCTCTGCATCGTTTTGAGGCAAGATATGCCTGATTTTTGCAATGTTACGTAGATGGAAGTAGGCGGTCCTTGAAATTGATTTTATGTGGGCGTTAAAGGATAAATCCTGATCAAATATAACACCAAGATTCCTTACAGTCTCACTGGAGGCCAAATTAATGCCATCCATAGTTAGTATATCCTTAGATAATTTGTTTCGTAGATTCTTCAGGCCAAGTACAATAACTTCAGTTTTGGTCGTGTTTAACATCAAAAAGTTTAAGGTCATCCACGTTTTTAAGTCCTTAAGGCAGTCTTGAATTTTATTTAGATGATTAATTTCATCAGGCTTGATTGATAAATATAGTTGAGTATCATCCGCATAACAATGAAAGTTTACAGAATGATTCCTTATAATATTGCCTAACGGAAGCATATATAATGTGAACAAAATAGGTCAGAGCACTGAGCCCTGTGGCACTCCATGGCTAACTTTGGTTTGCGTGGAAGATTCATCATTGACACGTACAAACTGAGAACGTTCAGATAGATAGGACCTAAACCAGTCTAAAGCAGTCCCCTGTATGCCAACTAAGTGCTCTAGTCTTTGCAATAAGATATCATGGTCGATAGTATCAAATGCAGCACTGAGATCGAGCAAAACAAGAATAGAGACACGTCCCTTGTCAGAGGCTATTAGAATGTCATTTGTGACTTTAACCAGAGCTGTATCTGTGCTATGATGTGTTCTAAAGCCAGACTGAAAAGCTTCAAATAAATCATTGTTTTTTAAGTAATCACACAGCTGTTTTGCGACCGCTTTCTCAATAATTTTTGAGAGGAACGGAAGATTGGAAATAGGTCTATAATTGGCTAAAACCTCTGGATCGAGGTTGTGCTTTTTAAGAAGCGGTTTTATCACTGCTACTTTGAATGATTGTGGAACATAGCCTGATAATAAAGACATATTCATAATATTTAATAAATAAGTGCTAATTAATGGAAACACTTCCTTCAACAGCTTAGTTGGAATTGGGTCTAACATGCACGTTGATGGTTTAGAAGAGAGAATCATTTAATTTAATTGTTCAAGGTTTATGGCTGAAAAGCATTCTAGTTTACTATCTAGCGTAATATTAGAACTTACGTTTCCGGGAGCTGTTGATAACACTATACTGGTCAAAGGCAAGAGGTCATTAATTTTGTTTCTAAGAGTAACAATTTTATCGTTAAAAAAGCACATAAAATCATTACTACTGAGTGCTATGGGAATAGAAGGCTCAATCGAGCTGTGGCTTTCTGTCAGCCAGCCTGGCTTTACGCAGTGCTTTCTTATATTCATTGAGAGTAATATGCCAAATTAAACGAGATTCTTCAAGTTTAGTGGAACGCCATATCCTTTCAAGTTGTCTCGACTTTTGCTTTATTTTGCGGGTTTTGGCATTATGCCATGGAGCTAATCTATGTTGTTTTATTTTCTTCTTTTTCAAAGGAGCAACAGAGTCTAATTTTATTCGCAGCGCATCTGTAGCACTATCAACAACATGATCAATTTGGGGTGGTGTACATTTTGTATAAAAGTGGGCTGCGTCAGGTCTGGAAATTCAGCCAACAGCCTGAGAAAACTGTCCGCCCCCGACAGCGAGCCCGACAGCCTGTCGTACGCCGCCTTGCCCAGCGTACACACCAGGGTAATAAATGTCTGCGTCACAAAATCCCAGCTGAACCGCTGTCCTCCAATACACAAACACATAGGCCTTACGCCGTACGTGTGAATGGGGCCGCCATTAGCCGTCGTCAACCGCGGTCCGTGTCCCCCTCGAGCGACGTCCTCCCTCGACGCAGGAACCACACTCCGTTGAGCGTCCGTGTCACAAAGAAACAAGCTTCCTGAGACACTGTCGCTAACGAAGAGAAGCCTGCTCATGCCGCCAACGCTCAGGGCCACTACTGAGCGCCGGCTCTCCCGTTTCCCGGAGGTTTGTAACTGCAGGGAGCGATGCACTTCTTCGCCCTGGCCCCGAACCGCGCGTGGTAAAAACACTCCCTGGGTCCCCACGCCGGCTTGGCACCATCGCGGCCAGCCCCCCCCCCCAAGCCTTCTTAACTGGTGAGGGGCCACTGAGCATCACAGCTCGCGCCTCTAGCCAGGAAAAAACGGTCGGCCTCTTCAGCCAAGGCGCAGGGTTCAGTAATGGACATGCTGGCAAGCGTCGTCTGAACCCGGGAAGGCAAGTGGCGCAGGAACGTCTCCTTAAACTAAATCTGGGGATCCTCCCCCGCCAGCAGATTCAGCATTTTCTCCATGAGCTGAGATGGCTTGAATGTCAAGAATCTGGCGGGCCCTCTCCTTAGCAGATAAGCTAAATGTCTTAAGGAGAAGGGCCTTAATCGCCTCATATTTGCCATGGCTTGGGGGGTCTGCAATAAATCCAACCAACCTGGACGACGTGGAGCTCCCCAGCGCTGCTACCACGTGAAAATATTTCAGGTCCCCGTCACGGACCTGTCGGCAGGCAAAGTGTGCCACCACATGTGCGAACCACGCTGCAGCGGCATGCTCCCAAACCTCCGGCAGTTTAACATAAACATCGCGATCAGCCATGTTCATTAAGTCTTCGGAATCACGAAAACGTCAGGGTCACCAGTGTAGAGCCGATGAAAGGGAGTCAGAGGTGGTGTGTTCAGTATGGAACTCCACACTTTATTTTCCATTAGCATGAAGACAAGGTAAGTACATCTGCTTGCTATGTCAAGCTAGTATGACAACTTACACACGGTACCTTCACTCACTGGTCCGTGTTGCAACACACAATAATACCACGGTGAATTATGTCCCATAATAATTTTAAGTGGGCTAATTAACACGTTAATACTACTGTGTAATATATGTGTACATATATATTTAAGAAGTACAATATAAGAAAAGCACAAGTTTTATTTGTGGGCCATATTTCATTATACTTTTTGAATTAGCTGAGGTCCAATTCAAAATGGCCAGCGGGCCACATTTGGCCCTCTGGCCGTAGTTTGGACACCCCTGGTTTAAAGTGTTAATTAAGAGTAAAGGGAACAGACCTGCTCTGTGTACCCGAAGCTCAGGCTGTAAAACAGCGTCCAGTAGTTCCTGGAGTCTCTCGTTCTCCTCTTTGGAAAGAGACAGCTCCTCCTCGAGCTCTGCTATCGTTTTTTCAAACAGAGCAAATATCTCTTCAGCAGCAGCAGTGAGTCGCTGCTTCTTCAACGACAGCAGCATTTGGACTTTACTCATGTTTACTAGATCACCTTTTCCTGCAAACTCCGTTAAACACACCGTTTCTCTCTCCATCAAACTCTCAATCTGACTAGTGTTGCTAACGTGTTTCCAGCTAGCATGCTAAGCTAGCTCCTATAGTCCGAGGTAAACGCTCCAGAAAAAAGAGCACCGAGTCCATTCGGAGGTTTATCCAGACACACAGATGATGGATCAGTAGTGCTGGAGCTCACACACACTTTATCGGGAACACAGAGAGAGAGAGAAACGTAGCGACGAGACGCCTCCTCGATCCAGGTTAGAACGAGATTATTCTTCTTCTTCTATTTTTTTTAACAGCTTTTAGTTGCATACCGCCACCTACTGTAAATGAGTGTGAATCATCATGTCTTTCCATCTTTAATAAAACAAAATTGCGAAAAATAAAAATAAGAAACCATTAAATAAATAAAACAAAACAAAACAATCATCAATGATCTATTCTAACCTAATGTTAGATTATTTTTTTCTACCCCAGTTTCCCTCAGAAAGGTAAACAGTGCCTTTCTGGTAGCTCTTACTCCCTCTCCTTCTGTTCCCAGAATACCAACCACACTCCACTCCCTCTCTGCCTCTATAACTTTATCCTTTAGTTTTTCTTTTTCAGCTTTATAGATGTCACAATGTAATAAGATATGTTCTACTTTTTCTTTAACTCCACAGTTCCCACACTTGTCACTGTTACTTTTCCCCATGACATACAGTGTACCATTCAATACTGTGTGATTTAGTCTGAGTCTAGCTATCATGATTACCTCCCTTCTGTTTCTTTCTTTATAAATATTAATTCTGATTGTCTTTTGAACTTTATGATACTCTTTGCCTTTCTGGTCTTTCTCCCACCTTTTCTTCCAGATCTTCATCCCTTTTTTCTTAATTATTGCTTTTCCTTCTCCTTTTCCAAGTTGAATTGGTAATGCTATTTCCTTTTGTACTGCACTTTTTGCTAATTTATCAGCATACTCGTTCCCTTTCACCCCCTCATGTGCAGGCACCCAGCAGAACTGAAGATCTATACCGCCTCTGTAAAGTCAATCAATCAATCAATCAATGTTTATTTATATAGCCCAATATCACAAATGTTACATTTGTCTCAGTGGACTTCACAGTTTGTACAGAATATCAGTATAATAATAATAATAATAATTTCAATTTATATAGCGCCTTTCACGAAACCCAAGGACGCTTTACAATGGGAAGTAACAACAAAAAAAAGGAATAATAATCATACAGATACATAGGCTGAAGAAAACAAAACAGGAACAGGTTGCTGGGTACTGCATATTAGTTGAGGCCAAAGGCCTGAGTGAACAGATGGTGTTTGAGGTGTTTTTTGAAGGTGTCTGCATTCCTGATTGCAGAGGGGAGAGAATTCCAGAGGGTGGGGGCTGCGACACTGAAGGCTCTGTTGCCAAATGTTTTCAGCTTGGAGCGCTGGATGGAGAGCAGCCCTTTGTCGGAGGACCGCAGGTGACGAGACGGGGTGTAGGGCTGAAGGAGGTCAGAGATGTATGGAGGGGCTAGGGAGTGGAGAGATTTGTAAATTAGCAGGAGGAGTTTGTACTGGATGCGTGACTTGACCGGGAGCCAGTGAAGGTGGATGAGGGTAGGGGTGATGTGTTGCCAGGGCTTAGTGCGGGTGAGGAGCCTGGCTGCAGAGTTCTGGACGTACTGGAGCCTGCCCAGGGCTTTGCTAGTGACCCCGAACAGAACTCCATTGCAGTAGTCCAGACGAGAGGAGATGAAGGTATGACAATACAATGAAGTCTTAACAAGCTATGATTAAGTTCTATGAGAATGTCTTCTCTAACAGTTGTTGTTGACTGTATGCTTTTTACTATGGATAATTAATCTGTGCATATCACCACCAGTGGCGGCGCCAGAGATTTTCTCTAGGGGGTGCTGTGGGGTAGCTTGACGTTTCATAGAGGGTGCTCAAACATTAAGGGTTTCCCATTAATGCACCAGCACTACAGTTGAACAGTGGGGAGTGGACCCCACGTCCTCTAGGAGGGTCCTCACCTCCTCTAGTGGGGCATGCTCCCCCGGGAAGATTAAAAGCATCAATCTGGTGCACTTTGAGAGCAACATTAAGAGATCTATGGATTTATCTCTCATCAACCATATGAAACACAACTGTAAACAGATTTTCTATTTCTTTATAGACATTTTACAAATCACTCCCCTTTTAAAACAAACCGTTTGAGACCCACTGAGATAACTAGACTAAAGTTAACTATCTAAACACTGAGAGAGTCCTTTACTTCACCTGAGCTGAGGTTACCTGAGACTCTCCGTCTGACAGGAGAGAGTTCTCCCTCCACCTTGTTGTTGAAAAAGCTCCTTATACCCGTTAGCTTGGCTAGCTAGCACCAGATGCTAACCACAACGATCTCCGGTATATACCCACCGGTGCGCGAGTTTGCTCGCTTGCTCGCGCACGCACACAAAATGGCTCGTGCCACACACACACAGAGCAGAGCTTGAATGAAACACAGAGACCCAGTAGTAAGCTACTTGTACTCACAAGGCCTATTATGTGCAGAATCCTTCTCGCTTTCAGGTGGTTTTGATTGAGTGTCCACACGTGGACGTTTAAGGACTAAAAAACGATAATTTTTTCACTTTGCTGTTAGCAAATCATTTGGCGCTCTAGCTAACAGGAAGTCACTCAAGTGTCACAAAGTAATTTAGCCTATGGGTAGGTCAAAAATCGAATGGGTGCTGGCCATTGGCCTAATCATATCACCTGTGTTGGCTTTATGTTTTTGGTCAAACATTTGTTTGTTTCACATTTGCATTGATGTAATCAATAATTTTTCTAATTTAATTTAATAATAATAATTTTCGAAAACAAAAAAACACATATTTCTTGGGGGTGCTTTGGCAATCCTGGGGGGTGCTTCAGACGTTCTTTTTGAGATCGATGAGTAAAGAAGGTCTTCCTGGTTGAACTTATGCTGAGCTTCATTTGTATGACCACTTCTCCACTTTCTTTATAGCTTTGCATATCTTCTCAAACACATATGGAAAATGTCTTCCCCTTATCCGGCCCCGTCATCTGCATACAGCGCAGATGTGATGCATCCGTCCAAATGACTGAATATATCATTTATCATAATAATATCGGGCTGATTGAACTCCCTTGGGGAATATTATTTTCCATACTGAACTCTTTCGAAACCTCTTGAACTCTGAATTTCTTGTTTGATAAAAAAGCCATGATCCAGTTAAACATTCTCCCTCCAATGCCCATTTCACTTAATTTGATGAGTAACCCATCCCTCCACATAGCCTTTTCAATGTCAAAATATACTATTGCCATAACCTCTTTCATTTGCAGGGTCTATTTCACCTCGTTGCTTACTCTAACCCAGGGGTGTCAAACTCAAATACAAAGTGGGCCAAATAAAAAAATGGGTACTAGTCGAGGGCCGGACTGGTTCAATGTTTATTGCAAAACTTATTGAAATTAACTTATTGCACATATTAAACCTGGGACTAACAAAGCTTAAATGATTGCCTATAAAAACAACATTAAATAATCAGTTGCATTAATTTATTAGTGCTCTATCTGCAGCTTTTCCGGAGTCATTTCTTATGATTACATTTTCCCACAGGCCAACAACAGCTTCAAAAAAACTATTTCCCTCAAAGAAAATACCAAACATGCCCTGCTGTCGTGAGAGAAAAAGTGCAGAAGGAAACATCCATTGAAACTCAGTGTTCTGCTCTGTGATGCTAGTTCAAGCCAGATACATGGCTTCTCATCTTGGGTGCAAGTTCATCAATGTTTGGGCTCAGGCTCTGAGCTGAGGAAACCCTCAGGATTGAGTGAAGGTGTGCGTGCAATATACCGGAGGGCCAGATCTAATAGTAATTAGAAATTATCCTGCGGGCCGAAATTAAATCTGATTTGGCCCCCGGGCCTTGAGTTTGACATATGTGCTCTAACCAAAGCATCTATTGTGCATCTTCCTTTACGAAAACCACTCTGGAAATTACTCATTAACCCTCTTTGTTCTAAGACGTGTGATAGTCTATGCACTATCATCTTCTCCATCCATTTACACAAGTGTGATGTTAATGCTATGGGTCTGTAGTTATTGGGATTAGAAGGATCCTTCCCTGGCTTATTAAATGGCAATATGACTGCCGTTTTCCAACTCCTTGGTAAGACTCTGTTTCTCCAGATTTTATTAAATATTCTCAGGACTAATTAGAATGTTTCCACAGGTAACTGCCGGAACATGGCATAGCATAACTGGTCTTGTCCTGGTGCTGAGTATCCTGTACCTTGTAAAGCTATTTTAAGTTCTGCTATTTTTTGTTTAGGCTAGCCTTGTCTGCTTCACCCGACCAATCCGACCAACTTTGCGCTTTTGCTGAGCTATCTCTTTCTCTCAAAGCCCTTTTCTTCCTCACGGCTTTGGATACCTTCCATTCCATATTGGTTCTTTGGTTACCATCTGAGCTGGTTGACATGATGATACAGTCAATGTACTGTTTATGCAAATCCGCCAAGATAACAGTCCAATGCTGCCGTTTCTGTATGTTTTCGATGTTTTCCGATTCTCTCTGAGTTTTCTACAACGTGTCTCCGACTTCACTTCTTTCTTCCGGTCCGTCCTCCTCGATCCTTGTCACTACCCGATCTGCAGCCCTGCCCGATCTGTACTGCGCATGTGCGAGATGGACCGCCATATTGGACAACTCTGGACGGCTACCCAGGTAGGACACTTGACACAGTGGCTTTTGGCAAAGCTCAAAAATAAAACTCGAGAGAGATTAGTTATTGTTATTACAACGTGACTTCACTATTATTTAATAACTATTTTTATTGTTTTTTTTTATTTGGGGTTGTCGTCTATAACAGAAATGTGTAACAGTACAGTAACTCACAAACACTGGACTCCCAAACCAAATGACGTGGAATGAACAAAAGCTGACATTTTTGGCCGTTTTTCTCTGATGTGTTTTTCGCTCACAGGGTCAGCAGGGGGTCCTCAGGGTGCTGCCCTCCTCTCTCTCCTCTCCCTCAGGGTGAGCCACAGTGGGTGAGGGGGGGGAGGGCCTCTAGGCCATGACGTCCTCCAGTGCCGGCAGGAAATCCTTCTCCGTCAGGTGAGCCTTCAGGGAGTTGGAGATGTGGAGCTGCTGGTCGATGTGCAGCGCCAGGATCTACTGGATCACCTTGCTGGGGTTCGGGCCCCTGAGAGGAGAGGGGAGATAATTAAGGAGGGAAATTACTAAGATTAGAACCATCAAATCTCACCATCGATCCCAAATAAATTGATGGGTGGTAGAAGAATAAATACGAAATATATGAACACAACCTTTAAGTTTATTTATTTATTTGTATTATATATACTATTTAGTATGTTCTTTCCCAGTATGACTCATTAAGTACACTGTAAAATGTTTGGCTGTAAAATGACAGTAAATTACTGGCTAATAGTTGCATGGATTCCACAGTAATTTACTGTAGATATTTTACAGTAAATTAGAATAAAAGTACAACTAAATACTGTGACTTTACAGTTGCCATGCCCATGGAATTACTGTGATATAGCAGTACAGAGCTGTGGTATTATGTTACATTACAATAATTACCTGTATTTTCACACTATTACTGTAGAAGTAATGCAACACAGTAGCCAGTAATTTACGATAATATATTGTACATTTGAATAGTTAACTGGGATTTTACCATAGCTACACAATTCAATCAGCTCAATCAACAAAGAAAAACAAAGAAAATGCCCATTTTAACTTTTTATTACTCCATTGAAGTGCAAAGTACATTTTACAGTGTCTTGGACATGTTGTTACGGCCCCAACCTCTACTCCGCGGTAGTGGCTCGTGCTGAGACCCGCAACATGAAAGAATACACGCAATAACCGGTACTTGGTAACGAGCATTTATTGATAATCAGCCGTTTGCTCACACAAGAGAAACGGGAAACAAAAAGAGGTCTGGAGGGCCTTGGGCAAGTCTTGGTGTGGATGATGTCCAGGTTAGAGATGATAAAATTATTCTACTAATTATTCTTCTCTTATTTTTAGCGCCTTGGAGGTGCTATGGTACCATGACGTGCAAGCATAGTCATAGTACCCTTGAATGAGTGCTCCTGCCAGAGTTTTCAGGGTGTTTTTGTTTACCAGAGAGGAGATCCGGTATAGGAATCTAGTTCTTTGATTGACTTTTTTGATTACATTGGATGCCATTTTGTCACAGGAGAGGTTTGCCTCAAGAATAGATCCTAGGTATGTCATTTCCTTCTTACTTGTGACAATAATGTCGCCCACTGCAACTGAGAAGTCGTCGGATTTGCTGAGATTATGTTTCGAACCGAAGAGAATGGACTCTGTTTTACCCAGGTGTAATGATAATGTATTATCGGCGAGCCAGGTGCAGATTCTGCCGAGCTCGGAGCTGAGGGTTTTTTCAACCTGCAACCTGTTCCTGTCAGAGACCAGCAGGGCTGAGTCGTCCGCGAACAGGAACAAGTTGCAGTCACATGCTGATGACATGTCATTTACATAAATTAGGAACAGTAACGGACCTAATATGCTTCCTTGTGGAACACCACAGCTCACTGGGAGGGGGGGGGGGGACAGAGTACCGTTTACCTCCACCATCTGTTCTCTCCCCTCCAGGTAGGATTGCATCCAGCTCACCGATAGTTTATCAAAAACCAATTGCTTTTAGCTTGTCAATCAGAATGGGGTGATTGACAGTGTCGAAAGCCTTTTGTAGGTCCAGCATCACCATGCCGCAGTACTTGCCCTCGTCCACCTCTTGTTTGATGTGGTCGCTCAAATAAAGAAGGCATGTGTTAGTGGAGTGGGATGTTCTAAAGCCAGATTGAAATTCATAGATTAGTTTCTTTTCCGCGAGGTACTTTTCGACCTGTTCATATACTATTTTTTCCATGACTTTCGATATGGAGGTAAGTATAGAAACAGGGCGGTAGTTGCCTGGGTCCAATTTGCTGCCCTTTTTGTGCAGGGGGGTTACTCTTGCAATTTTGAAGTCTTTGGGTACTTTTCCCTGTTTTATGGAGAGGTTAATTATGTGAGCTATGACTGGTGAGATGGCGGTTGCTGAGTCTCTGAGGAATTGGAGGGGATATTGTCGTGGCCAGTGGCCTTGTTAGGTTGGAGGGGCGCTCAGTTTAATGAGTACTTCTACTATTGTTACCCCTTGCTAGACTGAATCATCTTTGCGTACCCTAGGTTTTTGTAGTAGGTCATGATGTGATCTACTCCAAAAGCCCTGAGTGGGAGGGTAATTTATTTACAAGAGTTGTGGCTATGTTTGTGAAAAAAATGTTAAAGTACTTGGCCACATCCAGTTTGTCTGTGATGAGCCTGTTATCTGTCTTTATGTTTAAGTTAGAACATCTCGTTTTGAGTTTTTTACTGCAGCCAAGCTGGTTATTGAGTAATTTCCAAAGTTCACGGGGTTTATTTTTGTTTTCCTCAGTTTTGACATTGATTAAATTCTTTTTGGCAGTTTTGATCATGGAGCTTACGTCATTTCTTAGTCTGTTTCTTGCTATATGCTATAACCCCTTTACTGGAGATCCTGGACTTGTCAGAGGTCAGAATGAGATCAATGGTAGTTTGTGTTGTTTCACATACCCGGGTGGGTTGGGTGATTAGCTGGCTGAAGCCGTGCAGATCACAAATCCTACTGAAGGACTTGAAGACGGACGTGTCTTTACGTTGCATATCCGTGTTCCAGTCTCCAATAATAATTGTCTCTACATCCCCCACATCAGCCAAACACCCATCTAATGTATCATAAAAGTCACTCTGTTCCGGTGGTCTATAGATTGTCCCGACTATTACAGATTTAGCATTGTCAAAAATAATTTCAACCCACACAGATTCAATATTTTCATGATGCAGGTCAGTACGGTTTTTGAAATTGGTGTCTTTATGTATGTACATGCAGACACCACCTCTATTCACGTTCCTGTCCCTTCTCACTACAAGATAATCTTCAATTTCAATCTCTGAATCTGAAATGGAATTGTCCAATTTGGTCTCAGAAAAGCATAATATGCTTGTCTTACCGTTCATGAATAGCTGCCTGAGTTCAGCCAGTTTGTGTCTCAGGCTGTTAGTGTTCAGATGAAAAATATGTAGTCCATTTTTGTTGCTTAAATGCACAATGTCGTCAGCTTGCAGATATTTGTCTTTGTCCGTTACAGCAACCGGCTAGTCGTGGTGGGGTGGTGGGGTGGTGGGGGGAGGGAGGCTCCGTTGTAGCTTTAGCCGTTGATATGCTAGCAGGGTGGCTAACAACATGGCGGATATTTGTTCCCTCGGATCTCGGTTCTCTTCCTCTCGTCACTGCCTCATGCGTGTCTGTCTGCCGAGGCGTCCCGGGGGAATCTCGAAGTCTCCGTTTATTCCTTGGTCTCCGCTGTCTCCACGGTCTCTGTTGTCGTCGCGTAGTTGTTGTTGCAGCGGAAGAGATGCTAGTTCTGATGCTAATTGAGATGCTAGCTCCTCGAGCCTGCAGGACTGGCTTCTTGTCTGCACCGGGCCCGGATTCAGATGGATGTCTCCCGCTAACAATAAGACCAAGACGATCATACTTCTTCGGTCTAGTTTGCCTGACGGGGGTAAGTACTTTCGCGTCGGGTTTGCAGTTAATAATGCATGAATGCTTGCACTTCCAAAAGCGAGGTGTTTCCTTTCCCAGCCGTTGAGAAGGTAAAAGTCATTGTGGTTCATTTTATCCCCGCTTTCATTACTCTCCTCTAAGTGATGTTGCCTCATTGATGAGTTGAGGTAGGAGTCCATAATCCATATTGTCAGGAGGATTAAATATGTAAAAAATCGTGAGGAATAACCGCCAAAGCGGGAGCTCTCGAAAATGCGACCACTCATAGTGAAACTTCGGTTAAATGGATCTGTGTGTGTGTGTGTGTGTGTTGTGTGTGTGTGTGTGTGTGTGTGTGTGTGTGTGTGTGTGTGTGTGTGTGTGTGTGTCAGTGTTTTAGGTGTTGGTGGCAGTTTTTGAGGCCTTGAGCACTGGGGTTGGTGGCTCCCATCTGAAACAGTTTGGTTCCAGGCCTGCCATCTTCACTGTCATGATGGAGGACAGTGTTCCATCTAGGGCCAAGCTGTTCCTAGTTTTTGTCTTGTTCAGTCCAACCATCGAGAAAACCCTCTCCGCGTCGGCATTAGAGTGAGGGAGCACTAGAACAAGTTGAGCTATTTTAGTGAGACTCCCAAACTGGCTCAAACCGGTCACCTTTAAAAAAAAAAGGAACCAAGAGACTCTATTACTCAAATGCTTTGCTTTTGATTTCAATTGATTATGTGTATGTCATGTGGTGCCAAATATTTCTTACCTTGCACTTGATTGAGGACATACTCCCCCAAAACTCCTCAACATTAAAGGTGGTGGGATCTTGGGGCATGGGGATATCCATCAGCTGATATTCCAGGAATTCCTCACACACCTTGTCCTGTTCCTCCGGCCCATGGAAAGGTAGTAGTTCCTGAAATCTAAAAAGAGCACCATGTGTAAATAACTGATTAATGTATTCAATCAAAGTATTGAAATCCTGGAAAATGTGGAAACCCTTACCTGTCTATAAAGTATAGGGCATCTTCCACCCCACACTCAGTCCTCGCACACAGTTTCTTGATGAACTTTGTCATCTGCAAATGTGTAGTTCATAAAACATTTCCATGTATTACTTGAAAAAGGACATATCAGCCAATTCAAGCAGACATACTGTATTTGGCAGCAGGATGGCCTAACCCTTGCATTTTACCTCTCCGTGGAGGAAAGATGGAAGACCTTTCTCTCTGGAGGAGGAGGTTCAGTAGGGTGAACACTGGCAGCGTCGCTTGATAGAAGAGTAGGTAGACTTCAGTCAGGGGGTCTGAAAATGCATCCACCAGCCTTCTAAATCTTGGTTGTTTCTCATCTGCAAATAAACACAGTCAGTGCTTAAAAGTACACATTTAGTCTGGTGTAATGCACCTGTATTACTGTCAATGAAACAAACAACATACTTAAAGACTTAAAATAGCTGGTAAGTGGCCCATACTGTCGCAGAATTCGTGTGATGCACCTCTCCAGGCTTAACCATCGCACTGAAATGTGCAGCAGCATTTCCATGTACTCGCTCTCATGGAATTCACAAAATTCTGGAAAATATAAAACATAACATCAACAGTAAACAAATTAAAAATGTCTGCATTTTGTTGTATAACAGTAGAGCTGGTTGAATCACAAACCTGCCAGGTAACCTTTACGGTTGGTGCTTCCTTTAAACCAGTACCCAACATCCACGGTCAGATCCTCTAGTCTAGATCAAATCCAGATATCTGCAATACATGAATTCAAGTAACTATTGCAACACTATCAGCAAACTGTTTTACATGGCATTGGGCTTAACGGATTGGTAATATGGAGTGTACATGTTTGAACTTACTTCCATAAACTTCTGCCCCGCATGTTTGGCAGTGTTGTGGATGATATGACAGGGGCATCCATGGATGTAAATACTGCCATTTTCCTTCAATATTCTGGCTGAGATTGAATTTCTGGCACCTGTATTTACAGGGGCATTGTCAATAGAGAGACCTACTCAATTTCTCCAAGGGATGTCATTTTCCTGCAAGGTGTCATTGATTTTTGTGTAGATCACTTCAGCGGTGCCACAGCTCCGCCCACTGGTGGTGCACATATCAAGGAACCTGTGCACAACTTTGTTGGTGTCAAATATTCTGACAGTGAGAGGATTCATCTTCTCTAGACCTGTAACAATAAGGACCATAACTAAAACAATATGTTGTTCAAATTGTATGAGTGCATCTAGAAATGAATAAAAAATAAGTACTAATTACTGATAGAAGTTGTTAAGCACATACCAGTATCAATCGAGCCATCTGTGACAAGTGTGAAGGGATTCTCTCTCATCTTCATCACCAGTTCCTTCTTAAAATGAGGTGCCACTGCTTCATTTATGAGGCACGTTGTTTTTGTGCTTGCGCTCTTAAAGCCCTGAGCTGTAGGGGAGTCTCTAAAACATTCTTTGTACAAGGGGCTGAAATGGTCAGCAACGGCAAATGAAACATTGTGCTGCACCATTGCAACAGCAACCTTCACCTCAGCCCTCCTGGTCTGCAACAGAAACAACTGATTACATACCTCATAACCTTAAATACGTTTTCAAGGTAATATGACCATCAATTTGAAGAGAAATGAAGCTTAGCGCAAGTTCAAGAAGGAAGACCATACCCCCTGGTGTTACACGTCACTGCAAGCTCTTCTCCCATTAAGTAATCAGGGGCGGTACTCCCCAGCTAGCAATCATTGCACCTGCTAAACCCTTTAAATCTGCTCTTCCCTCTCTGTCAGTTGTCATTTCAGGTGTCAACGCACAAGTGTACGCGTCACGGTGTTCATGGTTAAGCCAAGCAGCAGCAGGGCTTTGTTCCAGCTGAGGGCTTCGTTCCAGCTCCAGGCATTTATTCATCAGCTCCGCAGTATCGCGGATTAAGCTACAGGCGGCGTTCCCCAGTCGGCTAGCGGGTCAGCCGGCCGGACGCGGGAGGAAAAGACAAGGAAATCGGGCTCCATGAAAGTTCCTCCGGCCTAATGGGAATGGCTACTTCACGCAAACAACTGACGTACGCTTCAGTCTCTTGAGAAGGCATCACTGGCATCAGGGCCGCCTAATGCGGCGCTTCCGGCTTCATGTGGAACGGGTCCTCATCACATGCGGAGTTTTACCCATTCTGGCTTCAACTACAACCCCTCCTGCAGGCAGGCAGGGCTTAAGCTATCCCATTGAAGCTATTCCTCCTGCGCTCACTTCAACAGGCGTCAGGGTAACGTTGGCAAAGGCAGTTGCAACAAATTCACGAGATGTTTCGTATATTGTTACGACATTTGGGTCATGCAGAGTGAGATCGCTACCCTTAAGAGAGGGGTGTGGCGTGCATGCGTGCATGGGCATGGTATGAGCGAGCGGGATACATGTTTTCTAGAAATAAACGTGGCAGCAGAAAAAAGGAAGGTCTGTGATCTTGCGAAATCTATCTTGCGAAACAGGAGAGCTAAATAATGCAACGACCTCCCAAATAGAGCTCGCCTCTCTCCTGTCTTTCCGATAAAATGAGTTATTGAACCAGAAGCGTGTTGCTTCTGCCCTGGGAGAGGACAGAGAGTCACCCCCCCCGTTTCCTCGACTACGGTCTGGGAGCCGACAGGAAGTTCAACACTATGCATTGCTACCTCTAGTCAGGGTTAAGGTGAGCTTCAGGCAGTGTTGGGGGTAACGTGCTACAGTATGGAGTTTCAGTAACGTATTACTTGCATTACTGCAGTCGGGTAATTACTCATTACAATGCTCAGTAACTAAACGCAGGTTCAAGCTTCAACACAGCGTTTCCTGAAAGGAATGGCGTTTCGCAGGGCTTCTTTTCCTCAATGAACAAGTCGCGCACATTATCCTGTTTATGACCAGATACTAAATAAATTAGGAATTCACTCCCAATATTAATTTAATGATTATTGACTAAATGATCGGTTTTCTCTTTTTCTTCTCCACTAAGAATATTCCGTTTCTTGGTGCACCAACGGCTAGATCTGCGACAAGAACATCTCCTTGGCAGCAAGTTTATTTATATAGCACTTTCAATACAAGGCAATTCAAATTGCTTTAAAAAATGAAAGACATTAAGAAATGGCATTTAAAATCAGTCATTTAAAAGGAAGCTAATAAAATAAACATTAAAAGAAAAAGTTTTAAAATATGAATAGTTCAATTAAAAGCAGCGACAAAAGAAAAGTCTTCAGCCTGGATGTAAAAGTAGTCAGAGTTGCAGCGACTAAGGGTGCAACGACTAATCGACTAATCGATCAAATCGATTACCAAATTAGTTGCAACTAATTCAGTCGTCGATTCATTGTGACGTCAGCAGTGTGTTTACGTGCGTAAGCTCCAACGTTATTGGTCTTTTTACCAGTACCGGAGACATTTATAAATATATGTCATGTTTATTGCTAAAAAAAAAAAAAAAAAAAAACATTATATCGCAGTCTAGTGTCACAACTCGTTCTAATATGCAAAGGACAAACAAATGCGCCTATGATGTATTTTCGATCAGATGAGATCTCTCTCCCCCATCGCGAGGGGACGGGGCAGTTTACACACACAGCTGCTACATGCAGCGGAGCACACTGCGGAGGTGGCGGAGAGAACGCGCTCCGAGGCGTGGTTAACTTCACCCGCTTCAATGTGGAGAATGCTCGTTGCCAAAGTGCAATAAGAGTTTATCATGTAAGGGCGTAACACGAGCACTTTGTCTAAACATTTAGCAAAAGTGCTCCACATCCAGACGGAGGAATGCACCGGGTTCCACTGTCTTTCTAGCAGCTCCGTAGCTCCATTCACGAGTAACGTTCCCACGTCAGATGTTATGTATGCTAGCAGCAACACACAGAGTAACTGTGGGGTAGGGACGGGTGGCGCAGTGGTCTGTGCATCCGATCATCAGATCAAGGGGGAGTGCTGGGGAACTCCAGTTCGAAACCCGCTCCTGCCGCCACTGCGTCAGGCCGTTGTGTCCTTGGGCAAGTCACTTCACCCGGATTTGCTCCTGTGGGTATCGTCCACAGTACATGTATAATACCAATGTGTACTTGTAAAAGCGCCTCGATGACCTCGAGGCGTGAAGATGGACGGTGTGGTGCAGTGCGCTGTGCAATGATCATCAGATCAAGGGGTGAAACCCGCCGCTGCTGCGTCTGTAAAGCCGGTGTGTCCTTGGGCAAGACACTTCACCTGAACTTGCTCCTGTGGGTATTGTCCACAGTATCTGACCATTGCATGTGTGATATATGTGTAATGTGTGTATATGTAAAGCGCTTTGAGTCATTGAAAAAGCGCTATAATAAATGTAAGGAATTATTAACTACATTATACAAACTCGGTTAACCGAGTATTTATTAGTTTCAATTTCAGCTTTTCTGTTTACAGCCTGTCGACAGATTATTTAATACAATTCGGTAAATGCTCAGGTGACAATCTCGATGACAAGGTCAATGTTCCCCCCTTTCTACGCACGGAGATAATGTAATCTAATAGCGTGCAGGCCAAGGCTGGCTCTTCAAAGCAGATATTACGACGCGCTTTAATGTTCCCATCATCGTTCAGCTGAACTCTTCAGCCTTAAGTCAAGTAGGAGAAACTATGCGTGCACCGGCTATTCGGGTAATAATATTAATAGCGTCTCTCCCCAGTTCAAATCACCCACTGCTCAGGGAGATCTCCTAATGCGTTGCCTTCACGCATCTAGCGTTCAAATACAACATTACTAAACTACAACTCCGCTCAACTGGGAAAAGAGAAGAAGAAACAGAAGAGACTCCTCCAGGAATACAGCGTTCCTAATCATGAGGAACTACAGGCCCAGTCTCACACCGGAGTTCCTAGCCATCACATCAAGCTCATGGTATTATCGTTCCTCTAACCAACTGCGTGCATCCACATAAACGTCTTCAACGACAGTTGCTCTTCCTCACCGGGCAACTGTACTTTGCATGCGGATTCTTCGGCACGCATCATCTCCCGTTTCCTGGACGTGGCATCCGCCGGCCTCACGACGACCGTGTTTTCCCCGACTTAAGGACGTGCACTGCACATCCTCCGTTTTGGGGGGGATATCTGCATGAGATCATTCAGATTTCCACTATTTCTACACATTTTTATCACACTTGCTGGATCTAACACTAGCGTCCCTCCATCATCCTCACTTCAGATGATAGAAGACAGTCTTAATCACTCAATCAGTTCATCAGCATCTATGACTCATCCCGGCACACTTAACGCTAATTAAGATATACTATATCATGGGTCATGTCTCAGTATTTAACCAAGTGTACGTCTTTTCTGCGTGCATCCGGCACTTCATTCATATTCTCGGGTTCATGCTCACTTGGCTCGTGGTAAACCAGGTTACGATATTCATGCATCACCGTACTCAAGCTAACAGATCTCGGGCATTATATCGTCTACATCTCCCTCTTCACCGGACATCGGCTCGTGCCGCCAATCAAGATCTCTTCAGTTTACCTATGGTAAATATCATAACTGGTGGTGGCGTCTAATAGCATATCAGGGCTTTCGTTCAGACAGGTGCAGCCATTCAAGGCATATCTCCCTCCTCCCTGCCAACTCGGACGGTGGTTCTCCTCCGCCTTCATATCCCACATTCGCCCGGACATCCGTGCGTGCTGGCCATCCAAGGTCCGAACACTAAATGGTATTTATACAT